GAACACAAAATTGTAAATGCATAGCAGTTGCCTTCGACCCCAGATTCAGTACAACTCGCAGGGACATAGCCAAACAATTAAATGTCAGTTTAGCATGTAAATGCAATCAACTATATACAAACTATTCACCATCTTTAAGGATAAAATAGAAGATGACACAACTCCTAAGTTCACTGCTTCGTGACAGCAGATTTGATAAAAATCTTATATAGGCTCAACAAATATATCCTTGATGCAAAGGCTCAAGGAATACCAATATGATGTTAGTAAAAACAAATACTGTATAGTACAGCTCTAGCACAATATGCAAGCAAACAAGCAATGTCTCCACAACAGAGGCAAAGCTTTTAAAATGCACATTTGATAACAATAAACTAAGGATATGGTTTGAGATATTTTCTGCAACACTTAAAGGAAGCTGCATTAGTAGTAAAGAATTCATATCCATATCCATTGCATTACAAGCAATGATAGATAGCCTTTTAAAAAAGAGCTGCAACTAATAATACATGTAGTAATATGAGTACATTTTGCAAGATACTTTTATTTTTCACTTTCTTTGTGTTATTTATTGTGGGCATTTTTAATATATTTGTTTATATGTTAAAACTGAAATAATATTTATATAAATATATATATAAGATATTAAATTCAGAAATAATGTCAAATAAAGTTGACAACGTTCCAAACTTTGAACTCACTATAGACATTCAATTTCATATAAGCTTAACCTGATGCAGGTCCCTGAATGTAACTGAAAACATTTGTTTATTAAACAGTTAGTGCTGGAAAGTGTGAGAAAGGTGTGAATTTTCTATGTTATACTGTTAAATATGTATCAATTTTTTAAAAATTTCTTTACTGTCATGGCATTTCCTAAAGGGATGGCCACAAAAAAAATGGATTTCCCATGCACAATACATCTGCAGGCTTCAGTTCTCTGAAGAATGTCATATAGGCAGGGTATAGCATACCACAAACACATCCTGGGACCTGCTAAAACCATGCACCACATCCATACTTGTGCCTAAAAACTTCTAATAAATAAAAATGAAATTTGCAAGTACATGAAAAATTTCAATCATCCTCTATTAATTAATGAAATATAGAATGATCCATTTTAGTTAATCCAGTGAAATAACCTGAAAAATATTTATCTTACAAAAGAAATCATTAAACCAAAAACGTTAGTCTTCGAGAGGACCACAAAATTTCATCATACATGGTGCTACAATTGGTTAAAATGGGTAAACTTCATTTTCTTAATGGGGACACTATTTTTTATTATCTATTATGATTCTACATCAGAAACAAACAAACTTTTTTTTATCTAGAACACTTTCTTTCAGGAATGCATTTATCAGAACTTTTATGTGACAGTCACATAATGCATGCATGAATCTGTGGATATCTGAAGTTCACTGAAAAAAATCATTGTTATTATTATTTGGTGGAATCATTCTTTTTCTTGAAATAATGAACTGATACAAAAACTAGTGTCATGGCATGCTAAATTGTCAGGCTTATGATAAAGAGATGATGTCAATTCAAAACTGGAATTTGATTTCCCCATATTTTCTTTTTTGAACATTACTTATGTAACCTGACAAAAACAGCTTAAAGCTATTTAAACAATTGTTTTTTTCTCATTAAACTTTGTTTTCTGCTGAAGTTTTGGCTCTGTTTTGTTTTCTATATCATCATCCAGTTTCTGAGTCATTTATATGTTAAGAAAATGAAGTTGACCTGTTTTCACTGATTGTAGCACTAGTTCTGAAGAAACTGATAGTCCCTTTTTGTAGTCCCCTTGAAGTCTAACATTTTTGGTTCAATGATTTTTTTAAAGATACATATTTTTCAAGTTATTTCAGTGATTGATTAAAATAGACCAACCTGCATATAAAAGAAATGGCATCGAATATATTTCTATCCCTTATATTAATTTAAGTTTACATCACTTACAAAGAGGACAGTCAAGCACTGCTTCAATTATATACTGGCACCTTAAAAGAACAAGCACCTAGATATAGTTGCAACCAAACCCAGTTTCATCAAGAGCCTTATCTACAATACACCATGCACACATGAAAACAATTAATAAACTTCATATCATGGGGATCTCCAACAATAATACTTCTTGTATAATTGTTGAGTATAACCAGATCATGAATTGCCTGTACAAATAGCCAAATGAAAGGATTTTAAACTTTCCTAAATAAGCAACCCATCTATATACAGCATTGTTACGTAACAGCAAAGACTGTCAACTGGTTGGTATTACTGGGATCAGTGGCAGATATATGCACAGGCACAGGCACAGGCACACAACGTGTGTGCCTGGGGCCTCAAATTTCAGCTCTCAAAATTAAAAAAAATTATTTTATTTAATTATTATTATTTTTCATAATAAAAGTGATTAATAATTTACCAGTATTTCCTAAATTAAATTAAGAAATGAATAACACCAGCTATGACATGTTTTGTGAGTGGTAATCAGTAGTAAATTTAAAAATAAATTATTTTTTATATCTATGAATTACTAATTTTTTTGTTTTTAACACTTTTACCTATTGAAACTTAATAATTCTTGTACCAATAAGTTTCAATTTTCATGATTAATACAATCTGAATATCAGTAACCTTTTAAATACAGTCAGGCTGTTGTAGTTTTATATTGGTTAATTTTCAATATTATTTCCTTGTCTCACCTTTTTTGGACCACCAGTATAGTGCCTACCAGAGTAAAAAACATGCATGTAGGATACACACTGCAGGGTGTAGGGGTAATGAAAATATTTAGAGGGGGCCTCAAAATTGAATTGCACTTGGGGCCTCTCAAGTGCTAAATCTGCCACTGACTGGAATACACAAAATTTCAATAGCAGATCACAGACTCAATTGTAAATTAGAATAAATCAATTCCACCACCTACTCATTACAAAAAACACCTGCAGAGCATATATCTGATATTAACGGCATTAACGGACAATTATTTATTGTGGCATCATCACAATGCTAAGCTGCAATTTTTATCATATTTTTAATTTATTTAATTTAAAATATATGCTCTCTACCTCAAATTAGTAGTGGCTTGAACCCTACATCATACTTTTCCTTTAACAACAGTGAAACTGGTCAAAAACGTTCTTATTCTATTAAATTCATTGCTGGGTTTTAAAGGTGTGAGTTTTTGAGATCTATCTCTCCAGTTAGTTCAAAATTTATGGATTTTATAATAGTGTGGTGCCAGTAGTCTAACTTCTTTTGGGGCAAAAGTTTTGAATTGAAATAATGTGGCTTCCAGCTTGCATTGAAAATTCATATATAATTAATTGGACCTCCCGCCCCTAAGTTTTCCATATCTGGTCTCGGATTTCATCATTTTGATTCTTCTCAAGATTAAGGAAAGACAGATGGACAGAAGACAGTGAGAATTGATAGGTCTTAAATAAAATTTTCTCAAATTGCAGCCCAACAAAAAAAAAAACTCTCCATCATACTGTTCATTTATGCATCAGATGATGATGTCTATGCAGATTTCAAGAACACCCTAATCCATAGAACACAAAGATTAATCATCATCAGGACCATTGAGGCACTTGAAATTACAAGGCCAAGATGAAAGGGAAAAGGATGAAAGACATTTATATATGACATTCATTATTCAAGAGACCATACATAACCCAGTGCTTATTGAAAAATGCAATTAAAAATATAGCTTGAACATTATTATTATTTTTGTGTTAATTTTACCATAGTTTGTAAATTCCCTTTAATAATTTAATATTTTAGATGTACGACACTGATTTTTAAATGTTAAAATACATTCAAGAAATGGAGTATTTAAGACAGTTAAAAGAAATTCTTTATGCATTCTGTTTTGAAAGTACAGGACCTGAAGAAGATCCAGAACAGTGATTGAAAACGTTATTCCATATTCCATCAACAAAGTATGCACTGGAGTTTTTTTCATGATTCCTCAGTGTATTTTGTTTCATTTACACATACTCCAGTCAAGTGAGAACTTAGTCTGTTATGATCTGGTAATATTTTGTAATTCGTACATTGAAAGAAATATTTAAAAAATTAATAGTTTGATAAATTCACTTGTTTCATAGTGATATTTAATTTTAATATGTTTAAGGTATATTTATTATTATTATTACAGTATATATTTATATTGATTTTGAAGTAACTAGAAACTATCTTGTCTAAATATTTTAAGCCAGTTTAGCCAAGTGAACAAATGTTAAATAGAACATGGATATTCTGTCTGAACATATTTTGGTAGAAAAAGAACATTATTTTATTTCATCCTTCCAAAACCACATGTCTCTACCAAAATAGTTAAGCTCTCTACCAGGAGGAAATGTTTCTACTTTTATGCTGATTGTCATTTGAACCACAGTACACAAAAGGAAAGCAGTACTCTAGGATAAAGTGGACAGACAGACAGGCACTAGACCCATCATATGACCGAGCTTCTGTAATTTATCCACTTCGGATATTAAATGCCATCTCCACAAAGCTGGAAAGATTGGCCGAATGCAGCCTGGCAACATAGAGCATATCACAAAGCATAATATGCATCTTGGGGTTTATCCACTGGTGGTCTACTCAGAGTTCCAATCACAACATGGAAGTAAATATTAGCAGACTATGAGCAAGAATGGCAACTCTGCATTGAATGCCTTCTAACACTCATGAAAACATATTCACTCACCTAACTGCACATACTGCAAGCAACCTGAAACAGTCAAGCATTACCTGCTGAATACAATCCATTGCTGAGGATTCTCAGGAGCTCTGAACATTGACACTAGTGCAATGTCTCACCAGATTCTCAACATAAGTGATAACCAAAATTCCAGACAGCACATCTCAGTAGTGGAAGCATTCATCCAAACGCCTCCTCTAACAACTCTGGCTAATTCTTTCAAGGGAAAAGGCAAAGGCCATAACCTCCAAAGCAGAGGAAAATCTTGCCATAAACAAATGAAATTTCCCCGAGTCCTTTCATTTTATACAAATTTCTTTTGTTATTTCATATAAGTGAAGTTTATTTTAGCAACTTACATACAGTTTCCCCATGAACAAACACACACACTATGTATATACTGTACTTTAGACCACAGTACATGATGCAGATGTCTCAGAAGAAAAGTTTGTACTCATTCTAAAAAAAAAAAAATCTTCAAAGTTTGATTCATTTCTCTCAGACTTTTCAATTGCAATCAGTTTTGAATATTTACATTCAAATTCCATTGCAAGACTACTTTCATCAACAAATTCTGTGTTTTCTGCAGTACATTACAAATAAAAACAACTAAATTTTTAAAAATTCAAACAATAGAACTATATTGTATCCTAATAATGTTGCTTATAAATGGTTGTCAATGCTGATCATTTACATGCTGAAGCTCATTTCACACAGTTCTTATAACCCAAAGGAAAATAGGCTACCAGAACACAAATAGTGATCATCTCTACAGCCTCTATGCATTATACAACCACTCAAACTTATATCGGTTCATCTGGTAACAACTTTTCATCCTGTGTATATGTACACCATCATGATCATTTTGTCCCTCAACCACTGCTGCACAGAGAGATAATGACAAAAATGTATATCAACAATTTGTCAACTTCTTAGGCATAACCTAAAGCCTCAGCCACACAGACTGCTACTGCTATGCCTGTTGTGTTGGATGCATAGATTGCACTCTATTAGGATTTTCAGCAGATATCACTCACCATGTACTGTACTTGTGCAAAACAAGCACTCTCATGTGTTCATATACCAGTTCTATCATCATGCAAAGTTCTACTTTTGCAAATACACTGGAAGCTTAGATAGAAATTTAAATAAATATTGGTGTCTATAGAATGAGTCTACTGAGAAATATAGCTGAATCATAATACACTGAAACAATAATATTTTTGAATTTGGTTTCACATTTATGGAAATTGTGCATCAAATAACAAAATTTGCATATTTGAATCTCTTCTTTGATTTGAAAATCTACTTCATTTTTTCTTTGATCAACAACAAAAATAAAACATTGTCAAAAAAAGCACTGTCCCATAGTACACTATTAATGCCTGCCATTTCAAAGACCCATGGAAAATGGCTGCGACATAGCTTTTTTGTAGACCCAGAATAGAATCTACAATGGCTGAAGTTTTTGTACCCTCAGTCTGATCAAAATCACCAACTTCAGCATATGTGGCATCCTTTCCATTCAAACAGGCATTGTCATAATGCAAATCTGACCTATCATGGATTTTGGCTTTGTGGCTTCCCCAAACTGGTTTCTGATAGAAAAACTCTGTGTGTCATTCTACAAAAGATGAGAGGTAAAAAATTAATTCTTACACAGAGATGAGTTTTGTATGTTTATTGTAAATAAAAATGGTTTAAAATGTAGTTTTATCTTTCACTGCTCTAAGAGACGTTGGACACTTTTGACCTTCTAAAATAGAACCAGAACTTAGACAAAAGAACTAACCAATGGGCTACTAGATATGTACGTGTAGACATTGACACACACAAAATGGAAACGTGTGAAATTCACTGGATTAAAAAGAGACAGTTGACCAGAAATTGCATGTAACCAACATGGTAGAAACAGTTGAATTATGTAAGAATCATCAAAAATATAAAGATTGGCACTAGATGCCACTTACATATTAAAATGTGCTGAACGACAATCATATATACAAATAATAATTCTAAAAATTGGAAATTGATGATAACTTAAATCAATATTCTTAAAGGAAAAATCAGTTTATAGTTCATCTTTTGACCCAAAAGACTCAAGTATGTTAAGTCTTCCTTGCATTTCTTCCTTCTTGCTGGAAGTGATTTTACCTTCCTTGATGTTCTTTACTCGTTCTGTTTCGCTGGCGATAAACCCATCTCCACGCTCTACCACCTTCTGCATCATCTTGATATAGACATCAGCAGATTTCTTTTCACCCTCTTCTGTTAATTTCAAACTGGCTTCTCGTGCTTCTTCAACAATGGTCCTTCTCTCCTCTTCGTCAGCCTTCATGAATCTGGCCGCCAGCTCATCGAATTGTCGCAGACACTTGTCCAACACCAGACGCACTTCTGCTTGAAACAAAGCCTGAAACTTAGACTCTTGCCCTCTACCAACTTTATCATTTCAAAGTAAATGATATTTACTCGAATGTTTCTTAATGAATGCCTTCAGTTCTTCTGACTTGAACTCCCCTGTGAATGTGTATGGCTCTTTGGTTCCCTGCACAAACAGCTTCACCACTGGAAAGTTTTCTTTGCTGACTCCATAATGATCGGCCAGGTCCGAATTTTCTCTGTCTCCATAATCTGAAAACACCCATTAGAAATCTAGTCAGTAATCTGCCAGAATAAATACCTACCATTATGGTCTTCTGCATGACCTTGGCATCCGTATGAAAAATGGACAAATATGTTTTCTCCAAACCTTGAACAAAGTAAAATTTTCTGAACCTTACAACCCATTACAAAATATTTGTACCAAAGTTTCTACTTTCAGCAATTTAGTTTCTACAACTTTATGTATGCAAATATAAAGTTGCATTGGGGTCTATAAATACCAAACTAAAATAATGCTACTGGATCATAAATGGTATTATTATTATATTACAGACTTTATTTTTAAAAAAGGCATTTAAAATTGTCATTAGTTAATGTTTGGAGTGATTGAAAACAATCATTGTTCAGAGGAGTACCTAGCACCAGATGCCACAAACTCATACAAGTCCTGATTTGTGAGAGAGATTTCTCCTAGAGAAAAATTTAATTCCCTAACATTATCTAACTTAAACTAAACTCTCCACTGTGGGATTTGTAGAGCCATGGACATTGAAAAACGATCCAGTTATAATTTCTTAAGGCATCAGTCTTGAAGCTCTCATGGCATTTGCCTTTACTTTTACAAAATATCGCAAGAAATAATCTTCCAGCAAGGTCGCAACAGATGACAAAGCCCATCCACCCTAATAACAATGATGTTTCATATGCTACAGATAATTTTACACTCAGAAATTGCCTGTGGCACACATACATTATGCACCTTAAAGTGTTGTTGGAATAGGTTTTTTTGTCTTTAAGTATTAACATAATAGAGAGGTTGCAGCCAAAATTCAAACTTTAAACTTGGACGGCAAGCAGAAGTACACATTTGACATTTGAATTCAAAGTAAAACACGTTGCACCTCACATTCACATCACGTACTGATTCATGGGATATTGCTGAAAAATGGCAGAAATATTTAAGATTGACAAAGGTTACTAGCAAATGTAAATAAATAAATTAGACTTTTTAAAAATATTTATAGATTGTTTAAAATACAAAATAATTATTCTTGACTTTAATTAGCATTGTCTCTCCTACCATGCAATATAATAGTAGGACAATTCTCACGACATACTTTTGTTGAGGAAAGTAGTGGCTTATATAAATCTAAAAGTAGCTCAGAAAATTATTTTTAGAAATTTACAAACGTATTATGCTGTTGATGGTAGAAGATGCCATGAAAGAACAAACCTACTTCTACAAAATTATGATAAGCTATTATGAACACAAATATATAAAAATTCTACAGGCACTTAACATCAGTTGCAAAAAATTAGATAATTAAATAATTTCTGGATTTATGATCATCTGTTTCTTTACAATGTTATTCACAAATGCTTACATAATCATTATTTTAATAAAACATGTCATAATTTTAACCCGAAACATGGAAAAATGCAGATGTTTAAGCAAAACTTCTACTCGCCATGCTTGACATTCCAAACGCCACTGTCAAACTTCTAGGATTACAAGATGTCGGCGCTTGACATACATTTTAGAGACAAAAACTTCGGCTGCAACCTCTCTAACAGTCAATGTGATTTGGAATAAAAGTTATACCAAGTAGTACTAATCTTCGTTAAAAATCTAAAGCAGCCAAACAAAATGTATATGTAACATTTTGGTAAAAAAGAATAATAATCAGATGACTGAAGTTTTTAGTCAGAAAGACACTTGGGGACCAACTACACAGATCTCAACTGAATGTGAGAGGAGTAATTTCAACAGGTTGGGAGAGAGTTGTACCACTCAATAACAAAACACTATTTCCAAAAATATTGAAAATCAAGTTAAACATTTGTCATAATGATTAATAGCTAAATGTCCTTTATCAGCACTGTCCAATAATTAGCATGAAAAATGTTCGATAATAAGTACAGAATGTTTTTCACGCTAAATATAAAACAGTATCGATAAAGGATTGTAACTAGGTACAATGACAAGCTTGCAACTTGATTTTCAATTTTCATGGAGATAAAGCATTTTGCTTTTGAGTGGTGCATTCAAATATTTAGGAAAAAATTTCACGAACAATATGTTGTTAGAAGTTCTGTCGAGTCCCACCACTAAATATGTGATATAATATTTTTAAAGTATACAACTTTGAATTTTATCAACGAACAACCGAGGATTTCCAAAAGAAAGAAGAAATTATAGTAGCATTCAAAATATTGCAACTGAACAACTAGCCTATAAACATATTAAATAAATGACACAAAAAATATAATGACGACGACAAGGAAAGTAACAAAGAAATATAATGACAATATATCCCTTTTCCATATATTTTAAAATTGTNTGAGGGAGAGGATTAAGTCTTAACCGGAAGAACCGCTTCTACTGCACTATTTTAGATGCAATTTTTTGTTTTTATCTGCGTTTTAGTAGGGTATACCATGGGAATGCACGCTAAGAAGGGATTTTTCGAAATTCTCCCTCGGGGGAGAGGGAGAGGATATAGTCTTCATCGAGTACTTAGGTGTATTAAATTAATAACATTTAAGACATTGTTATATTTTTATCTATTTCGATTTTAAAAATGTTCGAACCGTTTTAAATTCGAATTTGTTATTGCATATTGGTTTGATTATAGAACGATTGTTAATGTTCCAGAAAATTGATCAAATTGAAAATAGTTCGTTTGATTCTCGGCAATTCTGATCATTCTCAGCGGTAGGTGTTATATAACAATTACTATGGTTGTTGAAATACTGAATATAAATGGGGTTTGCTTGCAAAATTTTCGCGGGCGAAGTTGCAGGTAACAGCTAGTTAGTTTATAAGTCAGTTATCATGTTTTTGTTACGCATGCGTATATTATATACTTGTACAAGAAAAGGAGGCGACCTATTTCCCTGTGAGGATAATAGGGTAAAGAAACGCGTTAAGTTGGAATCTTTGTAACACAACAAGAAAAAGAACCGTGTTCGGAGAGCATTAAAGGAATATTCAATCATACACGTTTTTGTTAATATACTTAATCTAAATAATGGTATTAAATTAAATAAAACATGGAGAAAGTACTGTACATTGTGAATACCATAGCGGCATAACCAATGTATGCAGGATAGGCATACAAGATAAAAACGTTAATTGCCGCAGGATAACAATCTTTATAAACATTTTAACAAATAACATAGTGTAAATTTGTTTGAGACATATTTTGGCAAGGTGTAATAGAAAATTTTGCCATTTAAATATATAAAATTACTTGTCCTGACTGACTGATTCATCATCGCCCAGAGCAAACCACTGAACCTAAAGAGGTGAAATTTGGTAGACAGTTAGGGTACGTCATGAAAATGCTCACTAAGAAGGGATTTTATTTGTAACATTTATCCGTGGACTTACAAATCTCTCGTTACGAACTACCACAAAGGATTGAGAATAGAAATACAATTCTTTACAATTTATTTTAGGAAGTTGTATTTATAATTATTGTAAATTATTTTCATATAAAAAGGGTTTAAAGAGAGGCAAAAAAGTGGATGAAATGTGTTTTTCAAAATAAAATGAAATAATTTAGTTGATCTGTGGCTTCCTTAAAAAACCTATTATACAGTAAAACCTCTAACAGCACACCATCCGGACTGATAAGTTTGTCTGCTATTTAGAGGTGTCCATTATTAAGAGGTATGTGCTGACTGTTATACTGTATTTTAAATCGTTTGAGACTGCATATTGTAATATCAAAACACTTACTAAAACACCTTTTCTTGCAGCCAAAGTTTAAAAGAAAAACTTTCTAACGTTTTCGGTCTTGTTAAAAGACCTTTCTCAAGAAAAATAAATCAAATAACATAACAAATTGTAAATCGAACGCTTAGTACAGCTTAGAAAAGGTGTTTTAGTAACTGTATTTTAATATGGTCATCATATTTATAGTGAAGAATACATGATTACAAAAACATCAAATTTGTATTAGGAATGCAAATATACCAAAAAGTATAAATAGAATATTTAACATAAAAATTTTCACTTTTCCACTGGTGAACTTCGTACTTTAACATTTACAAAATCTTTTTGGCCCTATTAAATGAGACCTATCCAGGTGTTCTCTTTTGTTTTAGAAAAATCCAATTTTGAATGTTTTTAATCAGGTGTTGATAAGGTGGAGTGTGACAAACCCCATTCAAAATGTTTCTATTAAAACAGAAATATGTTTTTTTGTTTTTTTACAGTTTAAAGTAATGATATTTTTCACATATATACATATTAAAAAATATATGCCCACACTTCACTTAAATATTCATAGTACGGTATTGTGACAGAATGACTGTTATGCTGCATAAAAATGGGGAGACCAGCATGCCGGAAACACCAGGGTTACCGGAATTCTGGTTAAACTGTGGCTAAAATATAAAATTAATCAGATATAACAAAACTAGTTGTTAATTAAACATTAAAGAAAACATTCTTCTGAGTACAATAAAACAATAACATTGTAATTTGAATGACTTAAAATCGGGAAAGGAGTTTTTGTTTACGGGACAATAAAACAATTAGCAACTTTGACATTGGTACTAGTAGTAGTTAGTCGGTGTGGGCTGCACCAACCATCTATCCCAAACTTAAAAATTACATCCTTCTTTTAAATTTCACACAAAGCCCACGTTTGTATATAACTAATCTTGACTCTTTTTTTTCTTTTTTTTTTTGAATATTTGAAATGTATACTCATTACTAATTCCTGCTATAATCATTGTTGTTTATATATAAATAATACTGTTCAATCTAATAAATATTATTGTGGATTTTTACTTACATAAGTGTTATTTTGGATCATACATTTTGCTTCCCATCAAGTCCACGCCTCGATTTGAATCCTAAATTGTGTAACCCTGTCTTTTGTACATTACATTACACCTCTATGAAAAAGTTTATATGTGCAGTAGTCCAATGCATTATGTTAATTAAAATTTTTGTCTCCCTGTAACATAAAACTGATCTCCATATTCTCTTTCTTATCAGTAGTACGATGTACAAAATATGTCCAAGTGTTTTGGATCATTCTGTACATAATTTGAATAATCAAACATTTGTATTTGAAATAAATGACTTAGGAGATTATTGAATAATTTTTCTTTTTCAATACTAAGAAGAGTATTATTATATAAACATGTTTTCATTACCTTTTACTCCGACTTCAGCTACAAGAAGTTCTGGAGTAAACTGTGATGACTCTGCAACTTTTCCATACTCATCCTCTTTTTCTCCATATGGATAAGCAATATCAAATTTCACTACTACAGCTTCAAATTTATTTACTATCTGAAAATAAAAATTAAATTCATTATACACATAACCACCACCAAATATCTAAAAGACAGATTTCTTCATGCTATATTTTGACTAGACCATAATCAAAATTATAAAATTTGAACTAAAAGTAAGTAGTTAATCTGCTGTTTATTATTATTATTGTTATTAAATACATTAATTTTAAAATTAAATTCAATAATTTATAATATTCTGGACAAGATCAACTCAGAGCAGACTCAAATGTCCAACCTCTTTACCAGGAAGATAAATTAACAATTATGCTTCTTGAATCTTATATGGTCAGTCAGTAGATCTGAAAGTGAAAATCAGACAGTGGTCTCATCAGTGTTACCAAAAACACATCTGCATGGTAATGCAAGGTCAAGTCCTGCTCCAGGTTAATCTTTTCTTCCAAAACATTCCAAAGTATTCTAATTCTACATTAAAATGCCATTTATACTACTTTAAGACTGATAAAGTTAATCCCAATCAAATCTTTGAACCCAATAAACTCAATTTTACTTCACAATAAAATTTCTAATTGTAAAATCTTCATATCCATCAAATACAAGCAGATATTTCATAAACAGGCAAAATAAGAGACAGATGATGATGTAACGGAACCAGCAGATAAACAGTGAGTGAAACTATTAAGGAATAATGACTGTTCCACTTAACATAAGGCTGGATTTTCTGTTCCTTTTAGTAATGCATACGTTGAAAGACTGTTCAGTATTATGAAGAACCTACAGATAGAAGAAACGAATGAGACTAGAACCTGTAAAATTAAAAATCTGTATCAGATTTAATCACAAATTATCCTGCATGGAGTCTTATGATTTTAATTTGAAATTGCTATAGTAAGCATGCAAAAAGCATTGAATCTAGCTACAACTTAAGCAAAATAAAAATAACAATTTCCAATAAATAACTGTTGTTCCTGTAATTTCTAAATCTGTATTTTTGTATGCATTATATATTAAAGCAACTATTCTGGAAATTTGCATAAGTAATTCTCATAAACACACAATACTTAAACACTTTTAAACACCAACTGAAAGTTTATATCAATAAACTAGCATTTTTGATTGCAAACTGAATCTTTGTCGGTCAAATTACAATTTCAAAATAGAATGCGTAGTAAAAATTATTTAGATATATAGAACTATTTGAATTCTTACTGCATTTTTTTAAATATAAAAAAAAAACACAAAGCAAAATAATATAAATATATCAAAGCCCAATAATTTGTGCAAGATTGTGTCAACATAGAGGTCATTAAAGAATGGTCAGATTTTTCATAAAAATTTTGCTATGCATATGAGAGTTGTTGTTCTTCCTTATAGCTGATACATCCATCCCTCAGCTGAGATTTCTCTCTCTAGTTACTAGAGTTTTGAGATGATCTTTGTTGTGGTATTGCTTGATGATAATTGCATTACTACTGTCCACATATAAAGGTGAGCAGAAAAATACTTCTTGATTTCAAATAGTTATAAAATCAAAACTTATTAGAATATGTTTATAAATATGGGGACTGCAGATGCATTAACTCAAAAATTTCTTATGTCAACAATACTCTCAACAAGAACATGCCAAACAGATGGATTGGATGTGCTGGACAAAATGACCAGGTGTTCTGCAAGTGGTCCCAAGACCACCAGACCTAACAGTTGGTGATTTTTTCCTTTCAAGCACCTGAAAGAGTATATAATGACCTGCATTACCTGCAATCATGGATGATCTTAGACATTCTTTATTATACATACAGTGGTACCCCAGGATATGAACGCTCCAGCATACGAAATTTTCAGGATACGATACGAAATTCGAACATATTTTTGCTCCACGATACGAACAAAAACTCACCATACGATGTCACATTAGTTCGCAGCGCCATTTTTTATTCACTTCTGTTCGTCGGTCTCGGTCCGCGCGTTTGCTTTGTCATGGAAGGATCTCGCTCGATAGAGGAAATCTCCAGGTATTATCGGAAAGTGACCGATTTTATTGAAAAAAAACATCCCGAAAAGGTTCACACTGGCCGTATTGCTGCTCGGAGTAATGACATTTGCCTAAGTCATTTTAGAAACATTTTAAAAAGTAGGCAAAGCAAAACCTCTTTGGACAGATATTTTACCAAGCGACCATTATCCAGTGAAAGTGCTGGCAAAAGTAAAGGAAAGAAAGCAAAAAGCAGTGAATAAAAAATTAAAAATATATATATAAAACAACACTAATTTTTTTAATCTTTTCTAAGTTATTTTTAAGTTATTGTTACATTATGTTAAGCAAGTTCAGTTTTAGTATCATTTCCTTTCTCCCTCTCTTCCCCCACCAATTTACACCTCCACCGTTCTCTATCCTCAAAGGTAAAGTGCAAATAAAACATTTTTTTTTATCAATTATTATTCTATCATGGTTATTTATACATTTACAACTACAAAATGATTTTTCAGTGTTTTCCTTACTATAGTTATTTTTTTTAATGTACCACTTAGCTTTAATTTGAGTGTGTTTTTCATGTTAAAACGAATTATTTGGTTTTACATGTAATCATATGGGGAAAAATGATTCACAGTACGACATTTTCGTGATACGATCTCAGTTTCGGAACGGATTAATTTCGTATCCTGAGGTACCACTGTACCTAGTTTTGCTTAGCATAACTAGGTTGTACATGACCTTACAAGTATAGATATGCTTACTTTGATTACATAGAACAGATTACATAGAAAGTAGTGAATTGGTTAGAGAATAAATTGCACACACGAGACAAGTAGTCAATATGTTATTCCTTGTAGAAGGAGCATATGATGCTTACAGATGTGTGAAATGGCACTTATTGTTGCAATACATGTAGTGCTAATGTACAGAGTGGAAAAAAAGTCACTTAACACTTCTGCTACAGAATATAGAATGTATCCAAAATTAATTTGCTCACATCAGGAACACATTAGACCAGGATTGATATGTGTTACACGCATGACTCCCATCTTGATGGTGACCATATTGAATGCAACTGCAAAATTTTAAATGGAAAGGGGGTTATGTGACACATCATTTAGGGTCAGAATTTCACAAGGAATTGATTGCTGAGAGATTTATTGACCTACCTCAACAGAGTAATTAATGTGTTTCCTTTGTCGTTACAGATTGAAGAACAGAAAACACAATGCCCCTAACATAGGAAGAACACATCAAAATTGTCCTGATGGCAGGAGAAGGTGATTGCACAGGCCTGAACATTTATTATCACAGACCAATCATGTTTCCCTGAATTTCTGGAGTAGGTTGACAACTTCTATGTGTGACACTGGCACTTAGTGTAGATGACACTGATTAAAATCCTGTGCAATCACCCTGGAACTTCTTTACTTCATATACTTTTTATTCATCAATGAATCCTGTAATCTGTTACAAAGCTATAAATTTATTAAACTGTCTCTTAATAAACTTTTCAAATTTTATAAATTATTAACTTAAAAATTTAATTGGCAATTTTGTTACACTATTGAAATTATTAAAACAAAAATTGAAAAATGATAAACAGCATGGTTTTAAATTATGTTTGTTCATCATCTTTTGCACTTGGTTTACATCATTAGACTGGTTTATTAACACCTGCCCTCAAATTGAAAGGGTGAAGGTTAATTGTGAGGGATTTGAAAGGAATTAAAATACTGTACTTTGAAAAAAGTTTTGTCGACATCAGACTGTGCACTCCCAAATTTATATTGCATAACTAACATTTTTAAGACCTCAAAAGTCACGTAATAATGTAAAGTTTTCAATGCACAAGAGAAAGACGTTATGGATGTTGCAATTTAAGTACTTAAACATTAATTAATGAAGTAACGAGACAGTTTGGTGTCACAAAAATGTCGTTGCCCATAACAACAGAAAAAGTGAGAAATAGTAATATATAGACCATACGCATCAATAATTATATTTTATTCCTTTGTAGATCTACCACAGCATTAAAATATAGTGCTGGGGTACATTCATTCAACTCTTTATTATCAATTCATTACTGGTTAAAGCAATTTTTATTCAAAAATGTTCAAAATTCTCGACATTCCACATTTGGAACGATAGCAAATCCAAAGCACATTCTGGGCAAAGAATCGAAAACATTCGTTCATCTATTATATTTGAACCGTACCGGAAATCTAAAGGCTTAGATGTGACACTTATTTCTTCCGGTATTTTCTTTGGAAAGTGATAGCGATACATCACCGAAATAGTCAAGAAAAAGTGGCTAATTTAAAAGTAATGAGAATTAGTAAGAAAACGATGCATACCAAGGCCCGGACTCTACATGCAAATTAAGCCTATTAGTAATTAATTTCTCCAGAATCTTCCTCAGTTGGAATAAGGGTGATACGGATTGGAGTCCCGAGAGTTTCCAGGTGTAGAATTTGGCACAAACAAACTTTTGTTTTCCAGTCTTGCAGGAAAATGCCAAACTTTAAACAGTTATTGAAAATGCTTGAAAGCATATCTGGAGCATACTGTCAAATAGAAACCATAACTAACCCATATACAAAAAATTTTTTAAAATATAACTAATGGCAAACAGAAATTTTTTTGTATATGGGTTAGTTATATATTTTATGGTTTCTATATTGTCTGCTGTTTGAATTTTTATATATATTATGTGTTGTTCCAAATTTTTAAAAATAATTTTTCAAATATATTTTGTTCTATGCATCCTAATTTGGAACTTTGTTGATTAAAAACCCGAAGCAGGCCTCGGGCAAAGTAAAAAATGTTCGTTAGATGTTTTCATTAAAATTGCATTACTGGATTTTAAAGGTTCTTCATTGTTTGTGATTCGTTCCAGTAATTTGGTAATAAGCTACTTTTTAATTTGTATAATATAGTTTCGGTTTGTTTTTAAAGTTTGTAAACGAAATGCAAAAAAGGAATACCCGTTCATAATTTTACTTTCAACCAATTGGATAATCGTTCGTAATCCGTCAGCCACCATTAACGTTTCCGACAGTAAAAAATTTCAAAAAAATTTGCTTTAATTAACACGATCGTATACAATATTGAATTAGAGTAAGATTAATCTGTCTATCTCGTTTCTCTGTTCCATTCCCAATATTCAACAATCACTGAAATTGAACAGAAATAATTAAACAAATTTTCTTCTTAACATTGTCCAAAACATAAAATTATAAATTGTTTTAATTTAGTTTTTAGGATTTTTTAAGTATTTGTATTAATAGAAAAAGAACTATTTTTATGCAGTACGGTTAGCTAATTGTAGAAATATAGTGCCCATGCTCGAGCGGGTCCGACCTTTTCGGCCACGACGCGGGCGTCGACCGGTCTCTCCACGTACGTAGGCTCTCCGGTCGGGACAATCTCCACGCGCTTTTAGTTTTCTTAGATTTTTGGCTCGGTTTATTAATTACGTCTTCCGCAAACCGCATTCCCCGCGCACGGGCACCGCAAAACGCAAAAGGTTCCGCGAAATTTACGACGGACGTTCGACTCGACGACGAACCGAACGTCGTCCGAGTAATTTTCTAACGACGAATCAAAATTAAGAAACCCCACCGACCGACGAGACGGGGCGGCACGCCGTCGGCGAGTCGGCAAAAATCGCCCCCGTCCGTTCGCCGGCGGAGCAAAACGCGACGGGCGACGTCGACGGAACCGAGCGGTCGAAAACCACTCCGCAAACCCCAAAAGGGGGACGACTCCAACGGTCGGACGGATGGATCCGGGGAGGCGATGGCGTCAAGACATCCGTGGCCGCGGGGCCCCCGGACTCTCCCGCCACGGATGCCAAGTTTATAAATTTACCGGAAACGAATTAGATTTCGTCAAAGAGTTTTAAGCTCGTCGACAAAAATATAAAGCTCCGCGTTTTGTAACAGGCTATACGCAGCGTAGGTACAGTACATATAGGGCACGTACGTAGTGTACGTGCGTGCGTACCCTATACGCACACGGTCACTCGTACACTTATTAAGGAATAGAACAACAGTGACAAAACGAAAACATAACGAAAACAATAACGTAAAATAGACGATTAACACGAATAAAGTATAAACCTTATCGAAAGTTAAGCTGTCCAATTCGACGGCGCCTTTTAATGCCGAAGACAGTAAAGCACGAGCGAGCAGAAGGACGAAGAATCGAAGAAAACGGGACATGTCTTATTTCGACTGGCACCACGAATATTCCAGTACGAACAACCACTCGCCACACTTTCCTTCTCCAACGAACGTCGCGCCGCCCTGCCGGTCGCATTGCAGACATCCGTCCGACGCTCGGGAAAATAAATATCGAATTCGTACATTTTAGACTATTTAAAAGCTATTTAATTTGATAAAAATATCAAATTAAATAGCTTTTAGTAAACAGTTTTCTCCGCGACGTTAAATATAAGTGGCACCGAGGAAATTGGTCGGGCGGTTTACCGCATCGAGTGCATTTTTCGGCGAATACGTCGCGCCAATAGCCTACGAGTCGCGTCCTGTTAAAAACTTTCATTTTTAAACGATTCTACTTTGTTGACGACTTTTCCTTTTGTCGGCCAAATAAAGTCAAAAACAAGTCGACGTCGATTTCCAAATATGGTAATAACTCGTGTATAAAGCGCATCGATAGTATTAAATTTTCGGGCCAAAGGAGTTAAGAACTTTCGGAGATTTAAGATTTTCAACAAACCAACATCTACATTTTTATTTATATGCATTTCTTATATAAATATCACGTTTTTTACGTTTAAATAGACAAAAGGTTTACAAAATTTTAAATATTTTAAAAGGAAATATAAATTTCCACACGTTCAATTTTATTTTTTATAACTGTTACTTACGATAAAGTCCCGCAAACTCGATGTAACGCGTGCACCGAGGAAATCCCGCGTTAATAGTAAAATGATAAAAACCTACGACGCTAGTCTAAATGTGGACTGCGCAGCGTTAGTGGCCATTTCTATTTCTACTTAAATTTTCATTTATAAAATATTGGCCACTTCCGACTTAACGACATTCGCGTCGCGGGTTTTGCCCACCACACGTAACTACCGGACCCCGAATCGAGTAAAAGTTAACGTAGAAACTAATCGCCTTCCGACTTACGGTAGCCATTTCTGGCGCAATTGCTATTTATTTAGACTCGCGTGTACGGGAACAAAACGGGAATGCCATCGAGTTGTCGCGCAGTTAATTGTACGGCAAGATATAAAAAAAAGCCCGGTTGCACCGATACTATATCGTCGGTCGGGATCAAAATCTCGTAACTCCTTCCGAAGAAACGCCAGTCCGTTGTTACTAGTGTTTCTACCAGGCCGGTTTTAAATTCGATTAATTATTAGTTTCTCCGATTTTCGTAGAAATTGTAAAATGACGACGAAACGAAATAAATTTATAAAAACATTATGCCAAATTAATAATTTCGTAGCATTCTCTGGCTATTTTTCTCGCTGTCTGAAATTTGGGACGACACGGCTTTACGTGGCGGAAACAAAATGTTGTTTTATTTTCTCTACATTTTTAAAATCGCGGCCACGTTCGTCACACGATACAATTCGCCCGCCGTCTCGTATTTCCATAGAACCACTGGAACTCGGCTAAGTACCGCGGGACAACCGGTGACGTCGTAACAATGATTTTAAACGCGGTTGGTTATTTAGGTCACATTTTTCTAAACGACTCGGTAACTACCGACAGTTACCAGTAACATCGGTTACGATTTCAAAAATTCTAAGTCGCAAACATTAGGTTTCTTTTAACACGCGTCCCTAACTACTTCGAAACTGGTACGCGCGTTGTTCGGTTCTCGGCATTGCGCGTGCCTCGTATTTATATATTGTATCACATACAATGTATCTTTTGTTACTTATTATTATTAATGTCGGTGTGTTACTATTTATTATTCTTACTTTTATGTATTATTTTTGTAATTAATATCCACATTACACTGTTATTAATTATTTTTGAATATGCCACTGTAATTATTGTATTACTTTAGTATTATATTATGTACGTAATGTTTGCCTACTAATAAAGAAAATATTTATTTTCTACTCACAATAAAAAAACAATCTTTTTTATTTATAACATCCTAATTTTGAAATGTTCGAATCAGCAATTTAAAAAAAGTGGCGACACCGATTATTCCCCTGTGTTGATTGACTTTTTTTCGTTTTATTCGCGTATTGAACTAGGTTTGACTTAGGCCCGAGGAGAGTTTTACAGACCACGAGATGTACTAATGCTGTAATTGATTGGAGCAAATATCGGAGTTGGTTTACATCGCCGACTGACAATAGAGGGGGTGCACGTGACGTCACACGACTCCGGTTAAGAAGCGCGCGCCATATTGGTTGCTGTTGGTTTGGTTGTCGACCTCGATATTGTCGTCTAACTCATATTTTATCAATTTTAATTTATTATGGTATTACACTACCAACTGAACTGCTTATAGTTAGAACTACAGATTTTGTAACAAACAATTGAAAAAATTGTCACAAGTTGTGCTTTAATAAACTTATCAGTGTAGTCCCATTTGATTAATATAATTTTAATTTGTTATAAAATAATTTGTTATTCGGGGGGTGAAAATCTTTTGTCAACTGAAGTTCCAATAATATGTAAAATAAATAAATAAATTTTGATTATTAGTCAAATGAATTACAATATTTATTCAATACTGTAATACTTTCTGGGTTTTCATTTTTTTGCTTAAGAGTGGCAATTTTTACATCAAACTAAACAATTTGCTGTACAGTAAAGTATTTTATTCTATAAAATTTGTACATTTTCTGAATCTTTTCGTGGGAGTAGAGCTGGCTGGGAAGAAAATTTTTTTACAATTAGCTCTTGTAAAACACAGTGAAAACTGGCGGAGTCTCCATATCTGCTCCACACACACTTTTCATAACAGAAGCAGTTATTCTACCTGATCTATGCACAAACCACAGCTCGCTTCTACTCTGCGCTAGTGTGTTTTCTTTAATAAAATCAATTTCTTCATCTGTCAGATGCAAAGTTTCAAATACTGTCCCGCAGGGATTTAACAGCTGATCCATAGTCAAAATGCTCTAAAACGTATTAAACCAATTTTTAATAGTAAATACCAGTAGTTAAATTATTACTCCAAATTAAGGAATACAAAATACAAGAAATATATAAGGCGCTCCTCGACGTACGAACACGATTGATTCCTGGAGTTTTGTTGTAAATCGAGGAGTGCCCGCAGTGGATAATATAAACCCAAAGCTAGCAAACGATAAGCAGCGAAACTCTGCTAAATTTGGCTCTCCGCGATATCTGTAGTAACGGTTACGCAGACCAGCTCGTTGCCATCATTAGCTACATCCAAACTTATCTCTTTTACACAAGTTTGGTTTTTTACCAGCAGGATGTTTTATGGCTATTTATCGCACGCTTACAAGGTTTACCACAACGTCTTAGAGCGGAAGCCGATTAAATCCATATCCGGAGAAAGAAGAGAATTGTTGCGTATATATTCAATTTAACAACATTACAATTTACCACGGAGCACGAAGATAAAAGAAAGTATCGGCCAAGATTTTCCTACGTATACTGTATATTTAGACAGAACAGTTAATTTACTTAAACCCGCCATAGACGAGCAACATCTTCCGAATATATTTAATTATAAATAGTAAAAGTTTATAATACTTCAATTATTCGAGGAATAAGCAGAAAAAGCGATAAATAGCACAGATTATATGTAAAAATAACGGGAAGATTTTTGTGTAAAATAATTGGAAATTGTTCGTAAATAAGGTAGTTTTTATCTGTAAACGAAGTTATCATCCTAATTAATTTTTTAGAAATATATAATATATAGATTATACACAACTTATTAATATAATTTTATATGTAATCGTATAGTTATTTTCGTTGCATGTTTCTTAGAGTTGAACTTTGGATAAGAGCGTGGAAAAATCTCACATCGCTCAATAATCCTGCATTGCATTTTATTTATAATTGTATTTTGCAATTGTTATAATCAGGGCAGTGGAGTCGGAGTCCTCAAAAAATCCGCCGACTCCGACTCCTTTTTACTTACCAACTTGTTATGTATATAAAACGGAAAAGTATTGGAATCGTGTCAAATTTGACCCTCCAAGATTTTTTTTACAAATCTACACGTTTGGAGACCTCCAGAACCCCTCAAAAAAGTCAATAAAGGGGAAAAATTCGCGCACGCGTGTGTGTTGTCGTCTAATTTGTTTAATTTCTTTATTTTCTGTTCCGAGATATTAAACAATATCTCAGAACGGGTAAAGTTTAAGAAACGAAATGTGGCACTGTGGCTCGCGTATAAAGGGGCATTAATACTATTAAATTTTGGTTCTTAATTAAAGGTCGACGGGGTGAAGACATAAAAGTGGCGCGTGTCACATCTCTTAATGAATATTTTACTCGTTATTAGCGTTCAAAATTTAAAAAAATAAAATAAAACTCGTCTTTACCCTCAAAATAAGCTTTTTTGCCATTTTATAATAGTACGGTAAAACCCGTTAAGATGTTCTCGCCTAAGATGTTCTCGCCTAAGATGTTAGAATGTATATGGGGACATGATTTAGTTCAACAACTTTGACTTAAATAACTAACTCCTGTGTTAAACCAACCGACTCCGATTCCGACCACTCTGACAACAGAAATTATTAGGCTTCAAACGGGATGAACGAAATCGTACTCCCCACACACGGTCTAACATCCACACATATAGAAAAAACCTCGAATCTTTTGCGTTTATCGAAATTTCGAGGTGTCCCGAGTCCAAAAATGTAAAAATTTGGGAGGGGTCATTTTTTGACCGAGCGCTACACTTTTTCTCTGTTATATATAACAGCCGGAAAAGTAAAAATTATCGAATACATATTTATATATTACCTAGAGAAGTCTTTTAGCTTTGGAATAAAAAGATTCTACGCTCTATCTTTATTACAACTCTATTTATTGAATATTTTATTGAGGTCACGCGATGACATCAAAATTTCCGGGTCTCTTTCGGTAACGAGTCCGCCCCTAGTCGGAATCGGTAGATTTTTACGCGACTCCACAGCCCTGGTTATAATTACGTTAAACGGATCTACGTACTGTACGTTTAATAAAAATGTTTAACTTTGCTATCCAGGCACGCTTTATTCTTGTATCGGAAAGCGATATAATGACTTTTCTAATGTTAATTTACTGTTTGCGGGATAATATCACCATTAAGATGCTATCGATGTAAAATAAAAAAAACCATGCTAATAATGGTCG